CGCGGCCGTGTAGCTACATGTGGTACGCAGAGAGAGGACCTGTTTTGATGTAGACTTTTAAAAATAAGTGTTTCATGGATAATAAACTGGAGTGAAGTTTGGGAACCCACCTAGGAGGTTATTGGAAGTGATTTCAGTGTCCTCTGGGATCACTCTGAAAACATGCTAATCTTAGAGGTTTCGTAGCCAAGGTTCTTGGTTCTTTCCTTCCTTGGGATGAGCAGATGAGAGGGAAAATGTCAATTCCCTGAGAGTACTAGTGGTGTGCAGAATAACCTGTTTTTGAGTGATTGCGGTAAGAGATAAAAAGTCAAATAAGACCTTGACCTAGCTTCCAGCATTAAAATGAAAGACTGTGCAGTGTGATCCCCTCCCCTGCTTCTGTCGCCTTTTATTTGGGACTCTCACAGTACCGAATGTTTCTGTGTCTCCTGAGATTATCTTGTTTGCGTTTGTCCCTCTTGACCTAGGTAGCCTCTCTAATCTGGAACAGCTTTTTCTCTGTGGATATAACCTTAGCCTTTAATTTTTTTTTTTTTTTTCCGGTACCGGGAATCGAACTCACGATCTTGCACTTGCCAGGCAGGTGCTGTGCCGCTGAGCTAAATCCCCAGCCCCAACCTTAGCCATTAAAACTGAGGTATCTTTTATTTCAGGTACCCTTCCCGTTTCTTTTTTCCTGATTGGTGTGATACCCTTCCATTGTGCATAGCATTTCTCAGCTTGTTACATAGCAATGTGCCGTATAAACGTTTGTCTGTTTATATACACTGTCTCCTCCTCGTGCCTCCCACCCCCCTTTTTTGGAAGTGCCTTGACTTGTGTTTCTTAAGAGCTTGGAACAGTGAGTGATGTAGGCAGTCAGTGTTTCATGTGGATTTTATGTGTGTTGGATATGTTTTATACACACACATGAGTATGTCTGTGTACTGGGGATTGAATCCAGGACCTGGTACATGTTAAAGCAAGCAACTGCTGAGCCACATCCCCCGCCCTTGGATATCGAGACCATAAAATACCAGTTGGTAACTGGTAGGGGAGAGGGTGGTGGACTCCGAGCTAAGGAAAAAGAATCAGTTGAATCCTTTTATTGTTCTTTGCAGAGTTTACCCCTCAATCCCAAACCTTTCCTCAATGGATTAACAGGAAAGCCAGTGATGGTCAAACTCAAGTGGGGCATGGAGTACAAGGGCTACCTGGTCTCCGTGGATGGCTACATGAACATGCAGGTGAGCTGGAGAATTAGAAAGCCTGTACGTTGCTGTGTATTGCGCTGTAACTTATTCTTCAAAGGTTTAGTGTAACGAAGAATATATACAACTAAGTTGATAAAGATAAAGCAAAATTCAGGAATTAAATCAAGGCCATGGAGGGTGTTACAAGTGTGATACACTAGCTTAATACATAGAGTGAAATCAGAATTTAGCCACACATTTTATTCTTAGTGGATGAATAAGTGCTTTGACATTTGATCCATAATGCCATAAGGGAAACACACCAGTTTACTAGAGACAATAAAACTTCCCAGTACTTACTTCTGAACGAAATTTTTTTTCAAGGGAATTCTTAAATCCTTTAATGAATGCTGAAGGCACACCAAATAAAGCATTTCTTCATAGGGAAGGCAGATTAACCAGAGAAATGAATGAACTGACTGCATGTCTATTACACTAGTTTATGTAAATGTTTCAGTTTTTTCTTCCCCACAAAACTTAAATTTAGGTGGGCATGGTGGCACACGCCTGTAATCCCAGCACTCAGGAGGCTGAGGCAGGAGGATTGCTGTGAGTTCCAGACCAGCCTGGGCTACATAGTGAGTTGAAGGCCAGCCTGAACTGCATAGCAAGACCCTGTCTCAAAAAAAAAAAAAAGACAAAAAACAAAAAAACCCTTACGTTTAAAATTTCCCATGTGAACCATTTCAAGTGTGTATTCAGTAGCAAAAGTACATTTGTGTTGTACAGTCGTCACCATTATTCGTTTCCAAAACCACTTCACATCTAAAAGTAAAGCTCTAGCCAGTAAAAGATAACTCTACCTTCCCCACATGGCCCCTGATAACTGTCTGTGTGAATTTGTCCATTCTCAGTACATGTAAGTAGAATGGATCATACAGTCAGCACTGTGTATCTATGGGTTCCATCTGTGAGTTCCACATCTGTGGATTCAACCAAGCAATGGCTGCATAGCATTTACATTGTGCTAGGTATCATAAGAGACCCAGAGATAGTAATTATCTGATGCGATAATCAGGTGTTACAGAGGCTGTGAAGCAAAAGCAGGAAAGGAGTGACAGTCTGCAGTAGTGGATAGGGTCGCCTCTCTGAGTGTCTCACCTGCTCATTGTCGGGACAGAATACCCAATACTCACGAGTTAAAGGAGAAGGGTTCATTCAGCTCACAGTTTATGGAGGTTCAGTCCATAGTTGGCTGGCTCCAAGGCAGGGTGGCACGGCAGAGGAGAAAGAGCTCATGGCAAGGCAGTGACAAGCAGAGCATGATCAAGGGAAGATGGGGGTGACGGGGGGCATATACACACCCTTCCAGGCCGTGCCCACCTCTTCCCACAAGGCTTCACCTCCCAGCATCACACCCATTTCTGTTACATTCCTGTAACACCCATGTTACATTCCTGTGATCCAGTCACCACCCAGAAGTCCCTCCTGTGCGTGCATGTGGCTTTGCAGGGACATCTAGATATTAACCATGACACTGAGGAAGGAATCTAAGCCCAGATCAGAAGTAGTAACTCAAGAGAATATCTGGGAAAGAGCATCTGGTGTGAAATGGAACCACTGTTCCATTTCCTAGCATCTGTGGAAAGAGCAGCAGGTGCAAGGGTCCTGTGGCAGGAGCATGCTTGGTGTGTTCCAGGTACAGCCAGGTACATGGCAGAGTGAATTAGGGACAGCAACAGAAAGTTGATTGGCATGGCAATCAACTGAAAGCCTTGTAAGCAGTGGTGAGGAGTTTAAATGTGACATGATAGAAGACCTTTGGGCTGGGTGTGGTGGTGAATGCCTGTAATTTCAGTACTCAGGAGACTGAGGCAGGGGGATCTCTGAGTTTCAGACCAGCCTGGGCTACAAAGTGAGCTCAGGGCCAGCCTGGACTGCATAGCGAGACCCAGTCTCAAAAAGACCAAAAAAAAAGCCTTTGGAACGTTTTAAGTAATTTAGAAACAAGTTAAGTGTTGAAGAATATGATAAAAATAATGACTTTTTAAAAAGTTAATACGTTATTTCTGATTGCTATTACTCACAAGATGAATCATTTCAATTGTCACATTTGCAACCATATTCTTGGTGATAGGCAGCAACTTCAGTCTCTACAGCAAGGGAATAACATCAGCGGCAGTACTAATTCAGGAAATGTTTTACATTAGCCCTATCTCCTCAAAGCTCTGATTTTCTTTCCCTTGTTCACTGATCTACTTATGAAGGAAACTTCCTCTTTCCCTTTTTTCCTGTTCTTTTTGAACCACAGGTATCACTGGTGGTGATTTTAAATATTGCAGGTGAATTCTATTACCTGTATGTAGAAGGAAATCTGAACATTTAATTTAAAATGAGAAATAACAGAGGTCCCAGAAATACCTCTACAGGTCACTCCTAAGTCTTTAAACTCCTCTTTAAGAACTTGTCTTTCCCTGCTTCTTAGAAAATAAAAATTTAAAAATAATTCCTCCTCAGTGATTTGATTATTGACTAACATAGTTTAGTTATAACTTTTGTACATCTATTAGATACTTCAGTATGACTTAGTGTTTTACTTTGAGAAAAATTATTTTCCAGTTCTTTAAAACTGAATGTTTGGAAAACTTACTAATTACTATTTAGAAGATGAAGGCTGCTTCTTTGACATGCTCCTCTGGTGTATGACACAAGTATCACATAACCTGGGAGCTTTAACAACATGTGAAACAAGCTTTATTATATATAAGGTCTACATTCATGAATATTAGTTTTATTGAATACCTAAAACCAAAAGGAACTATAACAATAATAGAAAGCTAATCTTCTAATTATTACAGATAAATTTGAAGTATTGGTATACAAAGGTCTCAGTTAATTAAGTTCTCTCACCAGTAATGGGTATATTACACTATTTTACTTCTGTGCAATTATACTAATATATTTCTTCTTTTTTAAAGCTTGCAAATACAGAAGAATACATAGACGGGGCATTGTCTGGACATCTGGGTGAAGTTTTAATAAGGTAATAAGTAGCAGTAGTGTATGTAAAGTTAGTGGTGAACATTAGAAATACCTGTTCAATTAGTCCCTCAGCTGGGAATTACTTGTTTTAATCGCTATTAACTTCACACAGTACTCTATAACTAAGTGCAGAAATCTTTGAAATTGTAAAATTTGTCAAAGGTACAATTTAAATACTTTGGAGTTATGCATCCTAAAGATTTTCCTAGTATTAACGTTACACTTTCTAGTTCTCAGCTGTATCCACTGGAGCTTTGTTTTGAATTTTAGTTGATTTCGGTTCCTAAGGAGTTTTGTTATACTCACTTTTTAGCACTAGCAAGCCTCAAATTCTAGTAGTTACTCGCTTTGGAAAGTCATAAAGATGTCACTTACGGCAATCACATGGGGAAAAATAAGTGCCAGTGTGTTTTTTAACAAATCTAGGTAAACTTTTCAAAGAGGAGTGATACAAATTTAGCTTTCACGTGTTATCATAATGAAAAAATTAGCAGTAGTAATTCAGATCATGCATGGTTTCTTGTTGAAATAACAAAGTGGACTGTTCTTCTGCTTCCAGGTGTAACAATGTCCTTTATATCAGAGGTGTTGAAGAGGAAGAAGAGGACGGGGAGATGAGAGAATAGCGTCTTTTGTGTTTTTTATATATATATTTCTAGACAATAAAGATATGTTGTTTTTCAGCTCGACTTGTTAACTGTCATATGTAGATATTTATATGCAAAGCGCAACGGTTGAAAGGTAACTCACAGATCTAATCCTTTAAAAACTACCGGTTTCATTTCAGTCGGTTTTCTTTTGTAAGCACAGTACTCTCTGTCTTCCATAACAGAAGGTTGTATACTTCAGAAATTTTGATAAGGATGAATTTCAGCCGTTGTCATATTATTGTGTATTAACTGAGACCTTTGAAAACTTTTTGAACCACTTTTATCATAAACATTTTCTTAATATTACTTTGTTTAGTAGGTTACATATTCTATATCAGTGTAAACTAAATTATGTACATATTATAGCTACAATTACATATGAAAATTAAAATGATTATGGAGATAGGGTACAAAGAAATTCTGAAATGACATTTAGGCTGAACACATAAAAGTTGTTCACATAAGAAAATGAAGTTTTCTGAATAGAACTTAATGTGAAATAAAAATCAGTCTTATGGTTATGTTCTAAGACCAAAATGTAGTAGTATTCACTGAAATTTAAACCCCGCAAGGTCCTTCAGATATTTTAGAGTTGTACGTTGTTGAAAGGTCTGTTCCACAGCGGTAACAGTCCTGAACTTCCTTACCGACTGTTGGAGATACTAAAACATCATTCACATTACATTGTCAGGGCAAGGCCATTATTGCATTTACATGTCATTCCCCACATAGTTATATCAGTAAAGTAGTTTTGGATATGTACCCCAGTTGAGACAACTCAAATTATAAATGTTTAGCTATATGAAATAATAATTATGAATAACAGGAATAATAATTATGAATAACAGGAAGTTTGAACAGAAGAGAGTAAGTCTCATTCCCACACCTGTATATAACCTTTACAGTAAGGGCCGGTCTGGAATTGTTCGGGGGCAGAATCTGTAAAACATTCCGGTAGTAAAATATCTTATTGCTCCTATTCAAGTAAAAAAAAAGTCTTCCTCCTGAGATTTTGTTGGATCACTGACCAAAAGTACTTTCCGTCTGTTACCAGATGGTGGTTTTGAACGGTAGATGAGGCGTCTTCCCACCTGAAACGAGAAAAATGAGCTGTTTTCTTTTAAAGTACTTGAGGGGGCTGGGGATTTAGCTCAGCGGCACAGTGCCTGCCTGGTAAGTGTGAGGTTGTGAGTTTGATTCCCGGTACCGGAAAAATAACCAAAAAAAAAAGGTTAAAGTACATGAGATGCCAGTAGTAACTTTGAATTTTACAAGGAGTAATATGGCTTAAAATACAAATAGTTATTTTCAGATACAAGGGGATTAATAACCTAATGGACATCCAATGTGCTAGGCCACCTGAAGTAGCAAATTGAGTGCTCATAATAAGCAGAAGACAGGCCATGGGTTTTGAGTAGAGCGATGTAGGTAAAGGCAGCAAATAGCATAGCTTGGCCAGCCCAGAACAGCGGCGTGCTGGAGGCCATGTCACTTTTCTGAAATTGCTACAGCTGATTTTTCCTCCATGGTTGAAAGATTTCTTACTTGGTTTTTAGAAGTCTTGTTAGACAAAAACTACAGAAAACGCTACTATCTTCACTATCAGTGTTGCTGATTCCTAGAGATTTCCCCCCAGGAGAGGTTTATGGGGACCCCAGGCTTACATCTACACTTTCTAAAGTGTGTATACTCAAGGAAGTCCCTGAGGATCCCCCTTTTGTTTTGATCTTGCTTTTAGAAGTGGGTTTATATAAATTAAATGTATGGCTGAGGAAGCTACTTATACTATGGAACTTGAGATTTGAGGGACTGTCGCTGCTCAGAAGGGTTACTACTGACATTCTCAGCAGCACGGTCCTTGTGTGACACTGTCCTGCACTGCAGAATGGTCCACATTCCTGGTCTCCAGGGACCTAGTAACTGTCACTTTTGCCCATCACAACAGAAATGTCCTTGTGGGATTGGAACCCTGGAATTCCTTTTCTAATGTCAGAGCTTTTTGAGATTGTCCGTGGTCTTTGGTAACATTTAGTAATATTGCCTATAATGAAGTGTCCTGATTGTGTAAACTTCTGGTCAGACATCTCTGTGTGTCGACGTAGGACAGCGCCATTTTTTTTCAGACTTCTCGTGTGTTTAGTTTCCATCCTCATTTCTAGTCTTTGGGTATTCACCGTGCCAGGCATTGGTGATAGAAAGGGTGTGCACATCATGGTCTAGAAGGAGAGGTGGCAATATTTCAAAGTTTGCTTTGGTACGTTTACAGAGTAGTAGTATATGTGGAAGGGTGTTGAGTGGTTAAGCTCCCTTTGGAGGAGAGAACCTGAGGAAAATTCATAGGAAGAACTGAAGTAGGTTAATGTGAACTCTTGAAGATAATATACTTATTTAAATAAAGTATTTTAAAGTAATTATCACTTTCTGACATTAACAGTTAGTGTCTTTGAGAACTTTTAAGATTCTTCCCGGAACAGGCTGCCTGTAAGCGCATTCTATGCATTAGCCGTTACTATGGTAAGAATCACATGTCCACCTCAGGTTCGCAGGTGACTGTGGCATTGTCCTCCTGGGGTCTGTTTCAGACCCTGTCCCAGAGGAGGAGGGTGGCGTATGAGACAAAGGGCCCTTCTTGGCAGTGGAGCAGTCAGAGGTCACATGGTCCAGTGTCTGCCTGATCCCACACTTCGGCTTGGATGTACTCGAGTGGCGGGAAGGCCGTTGGCTTCAGGGGCTGGGGATCTCGGTGGGACTCGTGCTCGTCCACGCCTAACGTTTGGGTTCAGTCTCACTACCATCAGTCAATCAAGTTGGCTTGATGAGACATGACCAAGCCAATCACTTTAACTAATTATCTGAACAATGTAGGAATTACAGGGCCCTTTCAGTGACATCTAATTCTCTGAATTCAGTGTACAAAATGTTGAGTGAAAGCAGCACGATTCATAGCTACTGATTATAAGAAAATGAGTGCACAGTAATACGTAGTTACTAGTTTCCAGTGAACAATGACCCTTGTGGGGCTCTTACACATACACGATGTGTCTTAATTTCATCCTCTTCTCTCTCCCTCTCCCCCACTCCATCTCTTGGTCCCTTTTCCACAGGGAAAGATGTGTCTCTCTGCTTCCTATTATCTTTTATTTTAGTCTTTGTATTTTGGGTTTTTCATGTAAGAGAAACCATGTGGTATTTAAGCTTGTGTGTCTGATTTCTCTAGACCTTACGGTCTCAAGGCGCATCCATTTTCCTACAAGGGACTAGAGTTTGTAGGCAGAGTAGTGCTCCATCGTGTATAAACACCACATTTCCTTTAGTTGTTCATCTGTCGATGGACTTTGGGGCTGCTTCCAAGATTTGGCTATTATGAATTGTGCTGCTATAAACGTGGGTGAGCATGAATCACGGGAATATGATATCTTTAACTGTTGGGAAGATACCTAGAAAGGGAATAGCTCTGTCACATAGAACTATTTTTAGTTTTTTTGTAGACCCTCCGTACTGATTTTCACAGTGGTGGTTGTCATTTACATTGCCACTAGCAATATAGAAGGGCTCCTTTCTCACCGGCATTTGTTATTATTTGATTTTTTGATGATAGCCATTCTTGGGTAAGATAGAATCTCATTTAATTTACATTTCTCTAATGGCCAATGATGTTGAACATTTCTTCATGTATTTAATGGCCATTTGTACCTGTGAGAAGTGTTACTCATTTCAGTTGGCCATTTGTTGATTGAGTTTCTTACTTGGGGGGGGGATCTAAATTTTTTTGAGTGCTTTACATATTCTAGATATTAGTCCTCAGGAATAGCTGACAAAAGTTTTTTCCACTGATAGGTTGTCTCTTCACTCTATGATTGTTTCCTTTCTGATCCCATTTGTTGATTCTTGGTACTGTTTCCTGTGCACCTGGGGTTCTGTTCAGAAAGTTCTTGCCTATGGCTTTTGGAGTTTTACCTCCCAGCAGATTGTTACTGCTTTAACATTTAGATCTTTGCTCCATTTTGATTTTAGTTTAGTACATGGTGAGAGACCTGGGTCTACACTCAGTTTTCTGCATGTGCTTAGCAAGTCTCCCTAGCACCGTTTATAGAGGCACTATTTTTCCTCTAGTGTGTTTTTTGACCTCTTTGTCAAAGATCAAATAGTCGAATGTGTTTGAGGTTGTTTCTGCTTCCTCTTTCATCAATTCACAAGCCTGTTTTTGTGTTAATGCCATGTTGCTTTTATCACTGTAGCTTTGTAATATGACTTCAAATCTGGGATTGTGATGCCTCTCGCTTTGCTCCTGTTAGCCAGGATTGCTTTTGCTATTCTGGGTTTCCTGGTTTCATGTGAATTTTAGGATTGTTTTCTCCAGTTCTAAGAAGAATGCTGTTGGTATTTCGATTGTGATTGCGTTTTGGAAGTATGGTCATTGTGACAATGTTGTTCTGCCTATCCAGGAACAGGGAATATCTTTCCATTTTCTGATGTCCTCTTTGAACTGCTTTTTCAGAGTACTGTAGTTTTCACTGTAGAGGTCTTTCAGTTCCTGAGTTAGGTTAATTGCCAAGTATTTACTTTTGCTTAATACTCTGAATGATGCTCTTTCCCTAATTTCTCAGTGAGTTCACTGTTAGTATGCAGGAACACTATTGTTTTTTTTAGGCGATTCTTAGTTTTATTGAAGACTCTTCGAATAACCAAACTTGGCAGTTAGTAGGATGCAGAATCAACACACAAAAAAATCAGTAGTGTATTGTGTATAGTTTATATTATTTTGACTGCATTATTGATCTCTGTGCATTGATTTTGTGTCCTGCTGCATTTCGGAATGTGATTATTCTAGGAGTCTTCTGGTGGAAATTTTTTTTTCTACCGATGCAGACAATTTAATGGTTGTTGCCGCCAAGGAGGAGAACTGAGGATGACTTATTTCACTGAATCCTCTTGCGTCTTTTGAACTTGGAGCCATGTGCCTGTATTTCCTGTTCAAAAAAGTTATTAAAAGTGGCTTCAGGATCCTTAGGTTAAAGAAGGAGAGGGAAGAGGCTGCTTTTAGTAAAAGTGGGTCTAGTGGAGAACTGTAAACCTAGTAATTTGAATCGCTCCAAAAACAACAAGGAAAGTCTTGTTATTCCCATGGGCCGGAAAGACTCTCACATGCAAGTTCAACCTAGATAAGTTAGAGGAATAAGGTGTTCTGTTTTTGTACCACATGAGCGCTGGTATTGATGTGTGGCTGGATCTAGTAGCAAAACACAGACCTTTTTCTTTGGTTGTGCTACTGCCCTTTCCAGAGCAGCTTTTAGCCTTTCTTCTTGGTATCTTTGTTTTTCTTTCATTTTCTCTTCACGCAACCTGTCATAGGAGGGAAGGAACATTTTCATATAATTTTTTTCTACAATTTACAGAAAGGAAGATCTACATCATTACTCCTTGGTAATGAACTATCTAAGACCTCCCATAACAATGGCTTTAGAACACTCAGGCAAATCTTAAATCCTATTTTGAAAGGGGGAGAAATTTCATTTGGCCACTTTGGAAGAAGTAAAATCCACCCAGCTCTTAGTCTGAAAGATCGCCCCTTCTTGTCACCCTGCTTCCCTTTCAGCACTTGGTGTATAATGGCCATTTAAATTAAGCTGCAGCTATTCCCACCCTTGCTTTAAAGCCTTTTCCCATAAGAATAACATACCGAAAACCATGCAGCTCCTAAGTCATAGCTCAGTGTCCTAGCACAAAAGTGTACTTTCCAGTTAATCTTTTCAAATGATATCCTTAAATTAAGACTTATAAATCCCATTTGTCTTACCCTCTTTAGGGACATGAGGGAAAAAATGTACGCAGATTGTCTAGCAACAGGCTTAATGCAGGACAGGCACCCGACATCAAATGCCATACAGTTACGTCATAGGTGTGAGGTTATACAGCAGGGGATGGAAGTGACATTTACTGAGCATTTTAAGTGCAAACTCAGGTGCTGTGTTAGGTGCTTCCAAACCATTGGGGAAATCAACTAAAATTCTTTTCAGTGATGAAAATAATTGGAATTAGATTCATGTCTCACTGCTGAAAATAAGTTGCAATTAAACTGTGAGGTGAATATATTTGCTACCGTAAAAAGCATGTCAGTGCTGCTAATGAGTTTTAGTTGGATCATCTTAAGGAAGCTGAAATCCTCCATTTTTAAGTTTGCTTTCTATTCAATAAGATCCTAGCAGGATCACCTTAATATATTCTGGACTTTTTTATAGGGAGAAACAATATTTACCATGTACCAGTAATGGAGTAAAAGGGAGGCAGCTGGCTGGGAAGGGGATGAAGCAATGAAAGCTTACAGGCTGAGATGTACGTGTACCTGCTCCCTGAGGTGAATGTGTACTTCGTGTGCTGTAATCATGTACTAATAAAAACAGTGTAATACCCAATATTAATGGCTAACATCTGAGGACTGACTATGTGCCAAGGACGTTCAGTGCTTTTCAATGGATTGTATAATCCTCATCTAACAGCCCTACGAGATAAGTAGCATGATTGCTACCACCTTACAGATAAAAAGACTGGAAGAGACCCGGGTGGCGGTCAGTCCTGACCAAATGAGAGGTTTGCTAAAGATGGAATCTGAGCAATAGCAACCGCTCATTAAGTCATTCACTCTAAGTCTTTCCCAAGTCGGGGACGTACTTTTGCCGCCGCTCCTTCTGCTTCAGCCTCTCGATTGCGTCCACATTTTCCTTGGGAATGGATTCGATGAGGTCACTCAACTCCACCATGCGAGACTCCACTTTGACCAGCTTTTGGACTGGGTTCAGGCTGCCGACCTCAGCATCCCCAATGCACACTTTGTACACCTGATTGATTTTTTTACTGAGCGAGTCTATCAGCTTTTCCTGTGTTTGGGAACAAAAAGCGGAAAACATCACGTTGCGTCAGATAAGTGTAAAATAAGTATAATGAATGGAAGGTTCATTTTGTTAAATACTTCTTTTTTCTTTTTGGTGCTGGGGATTCAACCCAGGGCCTCACTGCATTCTAAGCATGTGCTGTACCACTGTACTACACCCTTTTAAAAGAAAAGCTTCAATAAGACACACACCAGTGAGAAAATGAAGTAGGTATTTGTATCATAATTTAGAGTAACACCTTGCATTGCTTTCTTAAAATACATTTCAGAGTAGATATAAAGAGTATAAGAAGACAGAATACTTTTTGCTTGCACATTTTTGTGCATCTGATTCCTAATCAAGTAAAGGCAGTGTACACACTTGAAATCCTCTCACACCCCTAGTGACACAATATGTGAGCCCCCGTTTGCATTTATTATTTGAATTGCTAACCCTAAATCATTCGGCGTGGCAGTTCCTTGCGCGCATGCCCGATGGCAGAGACCAATTCCTTGCTGTCACTACACACTTAATAAGTGCTGGATAAATGAATGCATTCTTTCAGAGAAAAAAGTTTACAAGCAAATGGATCCCCAGGGTGGCCTACCATGGCCTTTTTAGGGTGCTTGTCACAGTCCCCATTGGGAAGTCAGTGCCATAGTCTTATCTGCCAGCAGCCAAACCTTGCTGATCCCTCTCTTTTGATTCTGAACTCGGTGGGGACTCTTGAGCAGATAAGCGAATGTGTTTCAGGACCATAAGAAACTTGTCTCTTTCTCCCCTGTGTACCCAGAATTCATCACTAAGAGGACCTCAATAAACTAAAGTAAGTCATTTTTGAGGTTGCATCCTGTCCCAACCCCTACTTCTGCTTGAAAGGATGAGAATCTTCATTAAGAACACATCCTGAGAGAAGAAAAGAACAAATCCTGCAGTGCTCAGCAACGTGGCTCCTAGAGTGCGGGTCCATACGCTCTCTGGAGCCTCTGGGGTTTATTTATGGCCAAGATCTGATCCCAAGAGTGGACCGCTTCTATTGTCTCTTACTTTGTTTTGTTTTGTTTTGTTTTTGTACTGAGAATTGAACTCAGGACCTTGCACTTGCCAGGCAGGCACTTGTGCCACTGAGCTACATCCCCAGGTAACTGTCTCTTAGTTTAAGCTCACTGTAGTCCTGTTTACCTCACGTCCCACCTGTTCTCCCTCTATACTTGTTCTTTTTTTCCTATTTCTATTAAAAATACAATTCTTTTAGAAACGTGGAGAAATGCAAACCAATGTAAAAGAAGCAAAAGTCCTATTTGCCGGAAAGCCCTCTCTAAAATAACATGTTATGTCTCACGTTTATATAATAACACATTCCTTTTAGAAACCTTGCGGACAGACATGCAGAAGAATATAAAAGGAAAAAAGAGTTAAAGCAACCCATCAGGCTGACATATCGTCCACCACATATGAAATAAGACTTCCTGTCATGTAAATAATTAAAGCAGACAAATACATGGTGATTTCTGTATTGAATACTGGTTTTGAGAAAAACCAACTTTAATATGAGAATGGTTAGTGGTGATGAAATTGTTGAAGCACTAGAAAATTAAGAGCTTTGGAGAGGACTGGATATCTTTTTTTCTTCATTTTTAAAAATTCTGTCATCACACAGGAGGGTGAACAACACTGTGATGACTTGTATCTAGATGTCCCCTCAAAGCCTCATGTACTCACAGGTGGGGCTTTGCAGAGTTGGCTGGATCTGGGGAGTGTGATACTGGGATTAAGGCTGTGTGACACTAAATTAGTCCACTGATTGGAATTAGCATAGTTCTAGATGTGGCTGAGTGGATTTGCTGAAGATTGAAGTCACCCTGGATATGGGTGGTACCATCTCAAAGGCTTGTAACCTGGATGGGATAAAAGGGAAAGGGAGGCTCGCTGCTGCTCGCTGCTTGCTGCCTCCTGCCTGCCCTGCCATGGACTGTTTCTCCTCTGCCACGCCGCCCTGCCTTGGAGCCAGCTGACTATGGACTGACACCTCTACAAACTGAACTGAAATAAACCTTTTCTCCGAAATAAACCTTTTCTCCTTTAACTTGTGATTGTCAGCGACGCAGAGAAGTAAGACAGACATGAAGAAAGATACTTCCTAAGAACAGCATTAAGAAATAAGACAATGAAATTAAGGAAGATGGCATGTGTGAAAAAGAGACTGAGGACCTGGCCCACAATGCAAAAGGGCAGAGAGCCCACGGCGGAGGCTGACTGATGACGGAAGGGAAGTGTGAGCCTGATCTCTGGAGCCGCCACCAGGTGGCAGGCCCAGCCCAGAGCACCTGCGCGGAGGAGCTGCCTAGGAGGGGTGGGGTGCAGAAGTGGTCATCTTCCAGGGGGCAGGCAGGTTAGGGAACATGGAACCCAGCAGTGGCGCTTCAGGTGCCCTCCAGCAGTTCATGGCAGACGATGTAACCAGAGCAGCATCGTAAGTGGAGAGAGCCTATGAGCCACCTGGATGTCAGCACTTCCTCTTTCCTGCCCCAGGATTCTGTCACTCTAACCCTCTTCACTGTCCCTGTGTGCTGGCTGCACACAACTCTCCTGGCTCAGCTCCATCAGCTCCGGGTCAGAATGAAGAAGCCAGAGATGAGCATATTCTGCAAGTTGAATGGTGGGATGACTTATGTTCCATTTCATGTTCAACAAAAATGGCTGCTACACAAAACAGCATGGATGAGGGAAAGAAGGCAGACGTGTGACATGATTCCACTTCCGTAAAGCTCCAAATCGGGAAAGCTAACGATGGGGCGAGGAGTCAGGGCAGTGCTCACCTTTGGGGGACGGGAGAGAATGGAAGGGGAATAAGGAAGGCTTTGGGGGGCACTGATAGCAGTCTGCTCCCCGATGTGTGTGTGTGGGGTGTACATGACTGCCCACTCTGAGCAAATTCCTTAAGAGGAACACGTAGGACTCTCAACATTGCTTTACATCTGAGTCTACATTGGTATTTTAAAAATAAAATACTGAATTAAGAATAGTTTTTAGAGGATGAAGTATAGTTAAGAGGGGGGCAGTTTTGAAAGAATAATCATTTTCCATCCTGCCTCTTCCTCCCGCACTTTATACACCCAGGAAACTATGACACTAGGGCTATTCTGCAGAATGTAAAGAAAAATTCAGCATGAATACCAAATTTATACTTGTGATCAAGAATTTCATGGATAGACTTAAAAAGTAATTTTCAGATCATTTTTCCTTTTTATATTTAATGATCTGCTTGCCTCAATGGTTAAAAGGATGGAAAATGCCACTGTTTTTTTCATAGTTGCCCTACTTGGATGAAAGGGGCTTGGCTAGACTGGAGGTGGGTAGGAATCACAGACCCTTACCTGACAGTTTGCACATCAGTTTGCTTCAAAAATTGTCTATAAGAGAGTTATAAGGGTGGAAATGACCCAAAGGTCCCTCGAGAGATGAATGTATAAACACAATATGGTAGATACAGTGGAATTCAGCTGTCAGAGAAAGCGCAGTCCTCACACAAGCTACTAGGTAGCTGAACTTTGAAAACATTATGTGGTGTGAAATAAGCTGGACACCAAAGAACAAATATTGTACAACTTCACCCATGCCAGGTCCTGAAAAAAGTAAAAAGCACAGGCACAAAGAGTAGCACGGCAGTTGCCAGGGGCTGTGGGAGAGAGGTGACAGGTTCGTGCTCAGTGAGCAGACAGTTTTGCTTTTGTAAGATGAAAGTTCCGGAGACTGGTTGCAAAATAACACACACTTGAGGCTTGCATTTAAAAACAATCAAGATGTTAAAATTTTATGTCGAAATGAAGATGAAAATGTTCTGAAAATAGATCATAGTGATGGTTATATAACATGGTGAATGTATAAGAGATGATCAAAATATGCAGTGAAAGCTTAGATTTTTTAAAAAAATGTATTACAATAAGAGACACGTTACCACAAATACCCGTCAAGCCCTCCCCGACCTTCATTTTTTTTTTTTTTTTCTGATACTGGGAATCGAACTCACGACCTCGCACTTGCCAGGCAGGCGCTGTGCCTCTGAGCTAAATCCCCAGCCCCTATCCCATTGTTCTTGCCACACTCTGAAGCAGTTCTGGAGGTCCTCTTTCATGAGTGTCTTTACAAGGTATGATAAAAAATGCAGTGAACATTGCTGCTAAGCGCCGTCCAGTGGAAAGAAAGGTTTGTTAAAACATGATAGTGGTCCTCATCCACTTTATTCACCAGATCTGGGTCTGTGAGACTTCTGACACTGCCTTGAGGTCAAAATGACCACCAAAGGTCAGCAGTTTGAATTGAGTCAGGGCATTGATAGCGCCATGATAGCCCAACTGCAAACACATAAAAGAGGACTTCCAGAACTGCTTGGGAGAGCGGCAAGTACAATGGGATAAGTGTGTTCAAAGCAAGGGAGACTATCTGGAGGGGGATCGAGGGCAGTGTGCATGTTACCGCAGTGGTTATTTTTAAATATTCACCATAGTTTTGAATCACACCTCATACTTAGTGACACTGAATTCTATGCTTGAAATGACTAAATGAAAAACTGTATGCATATTTTACCAGAGTAAAATAACTATTAAATGAAAAAAACAGCATTGAAGGACTGAAGGAGATCATCAGTGACACTTCTTCCTCTAGCAATGCTACCTCGGCATGGTAACCATACGATGTGTGTGTACATGCGCACACACACGTGCAAAGGAACCATACACAGCGCTCGCTTCTTGTAACCCTGCCCACCTGAGGGGAGGGGAGATCATTCACCTCTTTGATACAGTCTCTCAAACTTACCTCTGTCTAGAAATCAAGTTCACAACAGTAAGTGTGATATTAGCCCCACCTATGAGCTTTGAACTTTTATTTCACTCAAGGTTTTTATAGGAACCTGCATTAGATGGAGGTTGCCGTGGGTACAAAAACCACCCTCGTCATTCATTCAGCAAACGTTGATGGAGCATCAGCTTTGTGGGAACACTAAATGAAGCTAACTGAGAAGAATAAGACAGTCCTTGAGGTTGAGGGACTTGCAGCCAGGGGTGAGATGCACTTGTTAATATGTAAGTATGCTAGCTGGTTGTGGTGGTGCACACCTGTAATCGCAGCAGACCAAGGAGGCTGAGGCAGGAGGATCGCTGTGAGTTCGAGGCCAGCCAGGGTTACACAGTGAGCCGCTGTCTTGAAAAACCAACCAACCAAACAACCAACCAAATAAACAAATAAATAAACAAACAAAACAAACAAGTGTGTGTTGCAGGTGCTGTGATAATGAGCCTATCTATCTGGGCCTAAGGAAGCTAAAATCTGTTTCAGCTCAGTGTTGGGCCAATTTCCCATTCAGTGTTGATTCATTGTTAATTGTGTTGATTCACTGCTTTCTTTGTTCATTACTCAATCCCTGAACTGCCACCGAAATGAGCACAGGCAGCGAACTACTCCATCTGTCTACGCTGTGACTGGAAGACATGTACGTGCAGGGGAAACCGCAATACTACAGTTTGTGACAATGAGAGCAACATTTTCAGTCATTACTAAGTGACTCCTGTCTAGTAAGCTACCTGTTGTATACTGGCAAGATAATTGCAAGGTGGTTTTCTCCCTCTATCATCAACCTGAGACTTGTAGTTTGCTTTAACTTCCCCATGCAAAAGCTCAGTGCAAAGGGAAGGCACGTTACTATTATCATGAACCAAAATGCAGTTACTGTGAGCAGCGAATGATTACCTGAGCATCGGAATTAAATTCTCCAAAACTGAAGAGCCTGGAGCGCAGTTCCAACTCGGCTGCCTTCTCCTCTTCTCGCAGGCAGTTCGCCTTCAGGATTTCCTTGTGCTCCAACAGGAACTCTATGTTGCTGTTTCTATTGCAGAAGAAGAAAGAGACCCCCTTGCCTGTAACTGGTGGTTTAGTGAGATAACCATCAGCCCAGCAGCTTCAGTGCTATCTGGAACATGGGTCAACAACACCCAGCATCTGCGAGCCATGAGGAGCCTGCGTTTGAAGACATTGCTGAAGGACTCAACTTTTCTTTTTTTGTCTTTGTTTTGAGACAGGGTCTCATTATGCAGTTCAGGCTGGCCTTGAGCTCACTTTGTAGCCCAGGCTGGTCTCGAACTTGCAACGATCCTCCTGCCTCAGCCTTCCGAGTGCTGGGATTACAGGCAAGCGCCACCATGCCCGGGTGTGGGCACAACTTTTCAAGTGGTGATGAGGACAAGAAATGCTCAGGTGCTGCTTCCACTGGAAGGCAATTTTCCCTCTGCTATTTTTGTGGTACCCACAGGTCCCCCAAATAAGCAGCAGCAGAACTGAAGTGTCAGGAACCCCGGCAGTGATATGATCTGTTAGGAGAGTGCTCTCAGATCTGGCTGACTGGCAGAATTCCGGGGAGTGAGCGGGGGAAATGGAGGCTTCTGACTCTCTGTGAAGATTCTGATGGCGCCTCAGAGAGAGAACCTGACAGTCTCCTTTCCCTGCCTGCCCTCCACGGTCCCACCCTTTGTGTTCCTGAAAATCATGGGCTGAGGGTGCTGCACCACACTCTGTAAAGACTGAGAAAGACACGAGGTTCAAGATACAGTGGTGGTGATGAGATAATGATTCTGGGGTTCTTTCTGAACAAATTCATTTGTTCTTTTTTTACCCCCAGCACTAGGGTCCTCACTCAGCACTCCATGTGTGCCAGGCAAGTGCTCTGCCACCAGGATACACCGTCAGCCCTCAAATTCATTTGCTCTGAAGTTTAATGTAGTGTGACCTATTATTTAAAAGGATTGCCACTCTGGCCCAGAAAACTTCCCAAAACAGTCTACATATTTTTATAAATGGGTAAATATAAAGATATCTTCTCTATAGCTTGAGGCTGTTTTTCAAAATAATATAAAATTTTAGAATAGGGAGGAATTTTGTAAGACATCGTGCTCACCTCATTTTTAACCCCCCTGTAATAGCCCTGATATATTGATATATTCATCATAAAATCATACTGTTAAGTCCCAGAAAATAGTTTTACTGAGAGTCACAGCCAAGAAAAACAAATTTATTAGCATCCAAAGTGTAATTTCATTAAGGAAATGATAGCCAAGGGATAGGATGAAACTAAACTGCACAAAAATCAAGGGTAGCATTTCAGTTGTCTTTTAGTCGTCTAAACTATCTTTTATTATTACTACCAAAAGAAATATTTTTATTAGTGCATATTTGTAATATGGAATAGTGATACTCATGCTGGGGAATCGATATATGCATGCAACATATCTCGATCCCTTTCAATCCCTTTACCTCGGTTTTTCTTTCCTTCCCCATTTCTCTGGTCCCCTAACTTATCTCCAAGACTCTACCTTAACAGGGGTAGAATTAAACTAAAGTCAATCTGTTCTGTGTAAATACACCTTGAACCTTTCACCCTCACAGTGTAAAGTATATTAATAAAAAATCCCAGCCGAAATCTATAGAGACCGCGTGAAAGAGCCATTGTGAATGAGTTGGACCCAGTCTCTGATCAGAAATTGCTTAACAGAATAAATCTACTTGTTCTCCATGACTTACATTTTGTCCTGTATAACTTTTTCTCTTTTGTTTACCTCTTCGAGATTTTCATCTACATCTTGGGAATATTGGACCAAAGTCAGATTCTGCTCTTCTAGATTTGTGAGGACCTGAAGCAACTCTTCCGGTTCCTTGAAATAGAGTTCTGGCAGCTGATTAATCAATAACAAAGAAGAGAATTCACTTCCAGATACCCACATGTGACTTGCATAGATAATACTGTTGTTTCCATCACTGTGACAAAACACCTGAGGAAAGATTTGTTGTGGCAAGAGGCTTCAGAGGTTTTGGTGCATGATCACTTGGGCCATATGGGGCACCAGACATCACAGGCCCAGCATGTGCTGGAGGAGTTTCACCTCATAGTGGCCAGGAAGCAAAGAGACAGGAAGGGGCCTGGTCCCAATAGCTTCTTCAAGGACACCCCTAGCAACCTTTCTTCCCCTCAGCTACACCCCTAAAAGGTTCTACCATCTCACAGTAGCACATAGGTGGGGACCATCCTTCCAACACATGGCCTTTGGGGGACATTCAGGATCCAGATGGTAAGAGTTGCCCTAAAGTGAGGGAGATGGGTGGATAATTATAAGGAAGCTTGCTTATTTCTCTGCAAGAGCTGGTTCTCAGGAAAAGGACATCCTGGGTATGGGGTGGGGGAATGAAAGGATACTTGAGAGAGAGGCAGAGGAAGGAGAAGGAAGAGGGAAAGGAAAAGAGGGATAAGGGGTATAGCAGAAAGGAAGGAAGGGCAGGAAATGGTGACAGTGAAAGGCAAAGGAGAAGGACTAGAAGAGGGACAGGAGGCTAAGTGAAGGGCATTCTCCCATGCACTGCAATTATGTTACATTTCTCAAATTCTAAAGATTAAGTATTTATTACTTTAGGTGAATAGTTTTGATTTGCATATCTGTGTTCATCATTATTTACAATACCCAAGTGGTAGGGGCAACCTAAGTGCCCATGGATAAATGAGTGGATAAATAGAATGCAATATATCCACATTGGAACATTCTTCAGCCTTTAGAAAGGGAAATCCTGTCTTAGACTACAATATGGATGACCTTTGGGATCATAATGCTAAGTGAAATAGATCAATCACAGAGAGACAAATACCACGTGAGCCCACTTCTATGAGCTATCTTGCCAGTGGCTTGCCAGTGTGTTCAATTCACACGGTTTCAGTTTTGCAAGGTGTAAACATCCTAGAGATCTTGTTGCAAAACAAATATGCATATAGGTAACACTTACATACACTTAAAATGGTTAAGGTGGTATATTTTATATTATATATTTTTAAGCACAATTTTTCAAAAGGATGACTGCAGTAAGGCGTGTTATATGTAGCAATGGCTGGTGTTTTTTTTTTTTTTTTTAATTCCTTTAAGTTTCTGTAGTTGTGTTTTGGTTGAAGCAAATGCAAAATCAATTTTACAGTAATAGCAAGGTATTTGTTGGAAGTCTATTTCTCTTACAGTTCAGGTACACAATATATCTCAACCACCAATAAAATAATCAGCCACCAGAAAGTGGCTGTTTTTACAGGAAGATTGTAGTTCAGATACTTCCCCCAAATTATTCTCTTCTTATAGACGTTTACTTTTCTGAGATGGTCTGATGGCTCATCAAACCAATTAGAGCAGCACTAAAACAATATTTCCTTTTGGAAAATGTGTGGGGTGTTTGGAATAGAGAATTTTAACTTTGTGAGAAGACACAAACAGCTGTACTTTTCACCAGCAGCAATACTTGAATCAAGAAATGCAATCTGGTTACCAGATCCATGTCCAGGTTGTCATCTAAAATGAATTCCATACTGTCATCAGAACTGACACTGTCTGTTTGACTGTGGAAGAACAAAAAGAAACAAAGAAAAGTCAATGATTGCGGAAGCATCACAGCAGACTGGCTTCATTTCTAAATTGTCTTTGGAACTAACTATAGCATAGCTCTTTCCAGCAGCCTGTTTAGCCTTTCAGGGGACTGCTCACTGGGGAAAAATGAGCAAAGACATGAACAGCAGACATTTCACCTGGGGCTATAAGGGTGCACACAATTGCAAAAAAATGCTCAATATCGTTAGTGCTAGGAAATGCAAATCCAAAGCACAGTGCCACTGTACACTTGTCAGAGAGGTTAAAATTAAAAGATGACAGACACATCAACTGCTGATGAGGGTGTGGAGAAACCGGAGTGCTCAGACATGGCTGGCAGGCATGTAAAATGGCACAGCCCATCTGGGAAACAATTGGATAGTTTCTTCCAAAAAGTACACATGCACCTACCACCAAGTCAGCCGTGCTTTCCAGAAATTTATCCTGGAGAAATGAAAACTGTGTTCACACAAAAAAAGTTAAGCAAAAAAACTCACAGCAACTCCATTCACTGCAGCCCTGAACTAGGAACAATGTGGATGTTCTCCACAGACAAACATTTAAAACACAGCCTAGAACACCCATATCATATAGTCCAGTGCTCAGCTGTAGGAAGGAACCAAGTGCTGATAGAACTGGCAACTCGGATGCATTTCCAGAGAATTATGCCTGGGCTACACAGTGACTTCAAGGCCAACCTGAACTACAAAGCCAGACCTTGTCTCAAAAAAAACCAAAATATTTTTAAAGTGAGGGTTAAGAGTTGGGGATATAGCTCAGTGGCATAGCACCTGCCTGGAAAGCACAAGGTTGTGAGTTCGAGTCCTGGTACCAAAAATAAATAAATAAATAAATAAAATGAGGGTTAAACGCCACAGATATGGAACAACCCCAGAGCCCCTAGAATTCAGAGCAAAGTATCTCTTGGCCTTTATAGTGATTGTCATGGATACAGGGCAGCTGGCTCAGATCCCTTCCTCTGGGCAAAGGTACTTGGCCCGGGCATTCATATATTTTCTCAAGGCTTCCTTGGGGCAGCCTGGGTTGAGAACTAGCGACTTGTGAAACAATGAATATAAATGTCATCCATCAAGTAAGGGAAGAAACAAAAATACATGCTTTATGGTCAGATCACAGCTCTTTTGAAGGACGTAGTGAGCTCGCAGACCCATGAGCTAGTGCACAGCTTAATAAACCATAGGCTGGGCATTCTGAGAGGCCCACAGCCGAGATGCAGGGAACTGGCATTTTCTGTGAACAGTTTCTTATCAAAGAATGTGGATAGGGCGCAGAGCTCAGTCACCTCTGGAGTGCACAAAAACAGGGACCATGGACTCTAGGGTTTTTCACAACAGGTGTGGCTCTACATTGAGGGGAGGTTAAACGTTATTTTCTAAAAACCATTCACAACTTCCAAGAGAGTTAAGCATAGACCGTACGTGGATAGGGGTGATCTCATAGCATCTGCATTGAGACTGGGCTTCTTGGGTATCTTTCCTGTTCAAAATATCCAGGCGAAGTCCATTTTGGGAAGGGTAGAGGGAAAAGAAACAACACATAATTAGAAATTAGCTGGTGTCCCTTGGCATAAATGTGCAAACTGGCTTCACAAGCGGAAAGAATTTCTTTTTTTCTACCACTGGGGTGAATGCTCATGGCCTAAGACATACTGGGGTCATTTCTGCGCAGGCAAGTTTCGCTGTTGAATTTACCCCCACCGCTACATACATCTGCTGGGTAAGGGAGAAAAGTGGTCACCGAGGGTCAGCCTGCACTGAGGGTCACAAATGCACGTGACTGCAGGGTAGGGCAGGCACCACAGGGAAGAAGGCCTATGGGGACCAAGTCCACTCGAGAGGTTGTGGGGAGTTGACTGCGGTCATGGTAGAGCTGCCTTGCTTCCTCCCAAGAGTGACTTCCTTGGGTCACTGACCAATGGCAGTCACCTACTTGCAACTGGCCTGGTTTTCTGGGGCCTGGAAAGTGGCTTGTCATTACCAGAAGGCAGATCTGAGCCAGGAAAAAGAGCGGTTCAGCTAGGAAGGACCTCAGAGCATGTAGCAGTATAGTCAGCCCAGGGACAGCTCCTGTCCACTCAGGATACTTTGTAATAACATTAGGGAGAAACCAGAACTCCTGGTGTCCAGGATTAGGGGTGATGTGGCAACACTCCCCCATTTTCCAGCTGAGCTCACGGGTCCTTCTCCACCTTGAGGCCGACACATTCTTTCGGGGAGGGAAGTCACATACCTCAGCACTTACCTTGGCTTTTTTTTCTTATAGAGTCACCTGAAGATGGTCTCACCTCAGAAGATGCAGCATCGTCCTCTGTTTTACTTAGACCTAATGGGAGTTCTAGAAATGGGAGATAAGAAAGAAAGAGAGAGGAAAGAGAAGATGGGGGGAGGATCTCTGAGAATGAGAGGTATTGTCAAAGCTTCCAAGAACAAAAATCAAAGATGGAGATCTTGTGACCAATAAACGCAGTCTGCCCCCGGCAGGGGCTGTCTCTGGCGTAGGCAGAGTGGATGAGAACAGACCCATGGGCACTAGGGCATCTGCATTTTCAACCTCAGCCTGCCTGAGACACATCCTGCTTAGGGGATGAGTCTAGGAGGTCTAAATCTTAAGCTGTTAAATGCGAATACTCCTCCATTTTCCTATTTGTTCTCTTTCTTCTTCAACACAATCTAGTGAGTTTTAACCAAGTCTCAGTATTACACTCAATGCCCTGCACATGCAACTCACCCACACTCTGCTGTGTGCTGGGAAATGTTTATCAACCACCTCTGTGCCAGCAAATGCTCCCGGATTCGTAGTTTGCCAGTGTCTGTGAGGCGCATGCTCAGTTCTCCACGGAGTGCCCCCTGGGCTCCCCAGCCCCACGTGGCACCCGGAATACTCTCCACGCCATCCCAGGGCTCCCCTGGCCAGTCTCCCCTCTTCCAAGGTGACTCTGCTTTGCACTTGATGGCTCAGTGACCAAAAATTCTTGTTTTTCATTTTCCTTCAGTTTTTCAGATTTTTTTTTTTTTTTTCCAGGAAGGGAGAGAGGGGTCTAAGTCTGCTCCTAGTTACCCCAATGTTCCTGGAAGTACAAGTCTTTTATTTTGATTTGTGGCTTCACTTTAATCATGTATTCAATTCTTTTATATGATGGGATCTATTTCTGATCCATTAAGCTGACCTCCAAATGCTAGCAGCATACTGAGACTCTGGGATGATATATTATATAATATTTTAAAGGATTAGTAACTCCCACCTCTTACGGTCCTAATTCAAAACTATAGAATACCCTCAGAATCATTATGTAGAGTTCTCCTCGTTCTGACACCCCACTCTCTGACAGTTTTTTAGTAAATTTTTAATACATATATTTCAAAACATAACATTTTTTAATTTATCAGGCCTCCAGGTGCTAATATTAAAGTTACTGTTGCTTTCTTAGGTTAGTTTTCTTGTACAGTTTCTGATTATTAAAGTTAGTTGGCTTGTGTTAACATGTAAATACATAGGCAAATATAAGGTAAATTAGTACGTTAATTTATAATACAGATAAAGTATAATTGACTTTGTGACCATTTACTTTATAGGACATTTTATGAAATCAAGTAGTTTTTGAGATTTTTTTAGGCAAGGTTTCTAAATTATTACATCATCTACAAATAATATATTTTCTCTTTCTTCCAAGTATATATTTTTTTGGCTTTATTTCTAAAATTAAACTGAGTTTCAAATTAATAATAGATAATAACAAGGATAGTGAGAATCTGCATTCTTGTTTTGCTTTTTAAAATTTTGAATTTAAATTAAAACCACTAAAAAGGGAATATTTTAGAATCAGAGATTTTTATTTAATTGAAATTAAGAATGTGTAACTTACTTGTTACCAGTTTTGGAAGAATGGATTGAATTTTTGATGTCTGTGCTCTTTTTAGTGCTTGCTGGATTTGCCAATGTTTTGGAGACAGTTTCAGCAGGAAAAGTCCATATTTCATGTACTCCCGAAGAAGAAATTCTGTGTTTACTATTTCACTACTCAAAAGAAGCAAAGATGTGGTTAGGTGTACCTGTGTGAAAGTGTACAGATTAAAGAATTTCTTACACAATATTCTCTTGATGTATTAAGTAATAATGCACTTATCAAAAATTATATGTATGGTCATAAAACTATAGGCTTCAATAAAATGAAAAGAAAGTAGTCTGTAGGACTATTTGTCTGAATAAAATATGCCCAGTGATATGCACATTTAGAATAGGCTGGTAATAGTTTTACTCTGTATCTTGGTTACTTTTCCCTTGCTGCTGAGACAAAATACCTGATGCTCAAAATTAAGGAAGGAAAAATTTATTTAGCTCATGGTCTGTGGCAGTTTCAGTCCATACTCGGCTGGCTCCAAGGTAGGGTGGCACATGGCAGCGGGTAACCGTTCATGGCGGCAGCAGATAGCAAAAGCAACAAGAAGCAAAAGAGAGGAGCAGCGGAGGCATCAGCCTCTTTCTTTCCCTTACATTGTATGCAAATTACCCACCCCAGGGCAGGTGTAGCACTCACATTCATAATTCCAACACTGGACTATGAATCAATCATAAACTCTAAAAGCTCACGCCATGGCTGCATGTGGCTTTGGGGGGACATCCAGACACAAACCACAACACTCTGCATATTTATTTCTGTGGAAACAGTACACTAAGTTACAGAAGGAGAAATTTGAGGTAGGAAAAGATGATACCTATGTAAGGAGAAGAAAGCATGCTAATACTTTGTGAAGACCTTCTATGCACAGGGCAATTTGCAGGATGCTTTACAGAGATAGTTTCACTGTCAGTATGGCATTTAAGGATAAGGGTTGTTTTTCTCCAGCCAGCACTCAAGCCCAACTGTGATACCCAACCTCTCACCGAAAATACCTAGAGCCTTTCCTCCAGCTTTACATTGCTTTACCACAAGCCTGTTATGAAATGGTCCCAGAAGGATCATTTAAAATAATAAAGGAAAGGGGTTTCACTTTTCAGAACCTCCTATATTCACACCCTCATCAGTGCCTTTACTGATATCACATCTTATCAATATGCTCAGCTTCAACGCCCTGTCAGATCTATCTTCTCTCAGTATAGGTCTGCAAGTGGCTGACTCAGGCTTCAGCCCCTCGTTCTACCACTGTTTCCATTTTTGATAGAAATCCTCCCAGATGTGTCACAAAGAACATGGAGTAAAAGTGGACTAGAATTGCATGGCTTCCATACAAAGGCTTAGGAAGAAGGTGCCTCTCTCTTTGTAAACAGGTCCCTAGCCTGATCCAGCTGGGCCTGCAGTGGAGGACCTCCTTGGGCCTTCTGCGCATAGAGGAGAAAACAGCCTGCCTCCCTGGCTCTGTCACAAGCTGTGTCCCATGCTCTTTTGAGCCTCTCTAGGATGATGCGACAATAAGAAATAAACACATTTTCGGGCCAGAGTGCATGGACAGTGTCCCCTGCAGGGTCGGTAGGCATATGTATCGCACTTTATGGAAGCATAAAGGCTGTTACTCTGGTTTTACGAATATTCTTTAAATGGACAAAATCTTCTGCTTACGCTATGTGTGTGTGGGGGAGTATGAATTCTCCCTCTTGGAGCACCTCCAACTTTAGATTCCTAAAACAGAAGAAGCTGCTGTAGCCAGAATGTGTTTGAAACACACATTTTGTTAATGCACTGGGTTCCAAATAAACTACCACCCAGTTCATTTGCTGCATTTTAGACAAGTTATTGCCCTTTTTGCCACATAGGTCTAGAGTGTAAGATATGAAAGATGTAGTTTCAGAGGAGATATGAACATTAAGTTAACAAGAAGAAAAGCTTAAGTCTTAGCACTACCTGATGCCAAAACAATAGTTTGTCCTAGATCATGAAAGTATTGTCCAAGGATGTTTACAGAAGCGTTTTAGATATTTAAAATTAATTCAAGTGAGTTTCCCTGGCCATAGAAAGAAATGCACAGGTTTGCAAAAGAGTGGCCAAGGACACAATAATATAAACCCCAACTCTACTCCTGTGATTTTTCTCCCTAGGGATCTTATATTTTAATATGAATGCTAGCTTTTACTAAGTGTAAATGTAAAATACTACCAGTTATAACTGTCAGACAATTGTAAAATGAATCTCAATTTCAGAGAGGTTCAAATGTGGAAAGAAATGCGTCTTAAAAGGAATAAAATAAGGCACTGGGAGAAGAATTAATTGTTTGCTTTCTTTTGACTGATTTCTTCGCTTCTACATTTTCTACAAGTTAGAGAACGTTTCCTGACAGCCACCATGAACTGACACGCAGGCAGAGATGACCCTTGACTACTTATTTAAGGTCTGCTCACACTGGGAGATCATCAACAGGGATTATTCCACACGGGCTGTGGAAAGCTGGTCCTGAGAAGATGGTGACTTCCCTCACCTCTTCATTGCCTGCACCTCCATGCTGGCTTTCTTCAGCTCGGTTGTCATTTGGAGTTTGTTGAGAGTTTCTTGTGCTGCACTGAAAAAGGAACAAAGATTTGTTAGCTTGTTTTATGTTGTATCGTGTTTTAAGAAACTTAAAACAAACTGGAGGGGAGGGAGGTGGGTGGGATTTGGCCAATATGAAGACACTAACATTTTCATAGCATCTGCAGATCGCTGGTCATTTTCTCGAAGGAACTCTTCAAAGGCTAGTGTGTCGTCTTCGAGCTTCTGTTCTGCTTTTTTGAGTTGCCTTTCCTTTACAACTATGTGTTTTTCAAGTTTTTTAATCGTGTTTCTTTTGGTTAACAGAGTATACTAGGGATATTGGAAATAAAGGTGTATCAATAACATTAGCATGTGTTTCAGGTACGCTCCAACAGTCTCATCATAATAAAGGGGAGAATGAATTTCACAGTAAGCAATTACTTGTATTAGAAGCAACAGCTTGGCTCAATCTTGGGCCTTTTTATTTAATGTTGCTTTGAAAGATGGTTGAAGGGAGACTAATTTCTCTCATTTACTTTTATGAAGAGACCCGGGGTTATCCTCAAAAGGGTTGTGCCCTCCAAGGCAAAAATAGCTACAAATCTCTCCAACGAGCAGGGCTATCTGTTAGCACCTTTCAGCTCTTTCCGGGCATTGGGAAACTGGGCTGCCACAAATTCTATCAGCTTCTCCCGCAAGAAGAAAGACAATGGAGGATGCAGTTTTAACTCTGCCATGCCAGTGATGTGTTCCTCTTAGCTGGGTACAAATTGTTGAACCAAACCCAAAGAGGCCTGTTTATATCTTCAAGTATAATTTTGACATCTATTTTTTTCAGTACAGAATATAAGAATACACTTGAGTTCTGAATGCCGCACATGAAAAATAAATTACAAAGAAACAAAGTCATATGTGTTATAATATACATGAATTTAAAATACCGGTCAGATAATTTTAGGAAATTACAGTTACTACTAAGAGCATCTGAGTTTATAACAAAAATATTTCATCCACTACTGTACTTGTCAAGTATTTATTGAGTGCTTATCATGTGCCAAGACTATGTGTGAACAAAGCAACAAACAAAATAACATAATTGCATTTATGCAATGTCAATTCTAGTAGGGAAAGAGTCAATATAAGGAAAATGGAGTGCCAATGGGCAAAGGCAGAGGGTTGCTATTATATGTAGAATAGCCTTTGAAAGTCTCTATGATACAGCGAAAATTAAACCAAAGTAGGAGGAGGTAGGAAGCCAATCTTGGGGACCTCTGAAGGGGGAAGGATTCCCCTAGGAGGAAGAACAAGAGAATGAGTGGTATCTCCTAGAACAGTATGGAGGCCATTGTACATGGAGCAGAGTGAGTAAGGAGGAGAATGGTAGAGAGATCGAACCAATTCTTTGTGTAACTGTTCTCCCATCTTTAAATGCTTGTTGTCCTGCTTTATTATGGTAAATGAACACATATAGTGAGATACGAAAGAATTGTGTTTTTAAGCCTGACTTCTAGTTAAAGGTTTGTGATGGTGAGATGTTGTGTCTAGATGTCCCCACAAACCTTCATGTGGTCATAGGTGTAGCTTTTTGGAGGTGGCTGGATCTAGTGTGTGATGCTGGGATAGATTCATGGTGTAATGAGAGGATTAAGGGTAGATAAGAATATAAGGGACAAAAGGGGCTGTTTAGTGTGAGGCTTGTTGCTTGCTGCTTTCTGCCTTCTGCCTTCCTTGCTTTGCCATGGACAGTTTCTCCTCTGCGATGCCCCCTTGCCTCAGAGCCTGCCAATTACAAACTAAAACCTCTACAAACTGTAAGCCAAATAAACCTTTCCTCCTTTAACTTTAGGTGTCAGGTATTTTGTCTCAGCAATGAGAAAAGAAACAGAAAAACAGACAAAAGTCTCTGTTAATTTTATAAATGACTCAACAGGGACCTGCTACTTTCTTCTGGCATAAGAGCATGTAGAGAGAGGTAGAAGCATTCCAGAATTCTCTGAGTTTCCAGAGTTCTTTTATTCTCACCATATTCAGCTAAAGATTCACAAAAATGTACATTAAATTGGGCTTCTGAAGTTCTGCTGTGATTGTTTGAGAAAGAACTGGGGAAAAAGGAAGAGAGTGGGAGCAGACATCCTCTAGAATAATTTTCCTGATTGCTAGAATGTGAGCTCTCTGTGGGTGAGACATTTGTTTTGTTCAGTGCTTGGCACAGGATAAGCATTCAACAAATATTTTTTGAATGAACTAACACACAAGTGGAGTAATCTGTTAAGCAATATATTGGGAGGCACGTAATAGAAAAATACAATGTCAAATTAAGTAGTTGGCAATACTATGTAACAAGTTTTCTGTTGGCTAATAGGAGAAATGAATTATTTTTACTACCTCAAGTAGAAACCTGTCTCTCTGGTCTCTAATAAATTCATGGAGAGTCTTTTTTGTGTCTGCAGCTGTAAGGAACATTTAAATAGATTTAGGTTCAATTCATTATCCTTCAAATATATCATATGGAATAAAAGCATAAGTTATTACATATACTGTAGTATATATCTGAGCTTTAAAAAGATCTTACTGTACCTTGCAGTAAGATTTTTCTTAATCATTCATAAGTTAACAGTAGTAATTATCATTTATTTTGTATCTATGTTCCAGGAATTTTATTAAATGTTTTAAATATATCATTTAATCCTAATGACAACCCAAATAAGGTATGTATTACTATCCGCCTGTCTGCTTCCGGAAGCTTAGAGACGTCAGAATTCTCCAAGATCACACAGACGACAAATGGTGGGGATGGGGAACCATCTCCTCAGCCTGAGCTGTTGTGAATAAGACCGAACTTTTGAATCGCAATGCTTGACTGACCTAGACGTCAAATTGAAGTCCTTGGACGCAGGGTTTTGGGGGAACCACAAACTAAAGTTACAGCAGAACAGGAAAATAGGGCAACTAGTTTTACCATGCAGAAAACTAAACAGGAAATACTGACAACTTCTTCCCAAGGTTTCTGCTTTGTTTTGAAAAATCACATTTATGCCGCATTTCAATATTTGCATGGTGAAAAATTAACAGAATGTGGTGTGGAATGAAGTCTTTCAATAACGATGTAGATAGAAGTAGAAATAAAATAATTTTTCTTAAATAGCAAGTGAGTCTGCGCTGAAGTAGGAGGCCTAAGTCTTTCTGGGTTGCATTTGTCTTGAACCTCTCCCTAGCTGGGAGTCATGAGTAAAGCACCCAGCTTCTCCATGCCTCAGTTTCCTCATTTGTTCAAGGAGGTCACTAACTGCTGGACTATATCAAGGTCCCCAACTATCTGCTGCGTCTGTCTGTGAGAAGGTTCTCTGCCTCCCTGGCAAGTGGTTGGCCATGGAACGCACATGGGCTTGACCTGTGTTGCTTCCAAGGGGAAACTAAGTATCACCATTCGTTTCTCTTTCTCCCTTTGCTGCCTAGCTGGGTTCCAGACGGGGGGTGTTCCTTCAACAGAAAATCCAGGGAAAAGTACCAAACTTGGAAAATGAGTGAGAAGTCAAACCTCTAAGATCGTAAACCAGTGAAATTTAGGAGTGGCTCATTACCAAAGAGTCATTTAGCCTAAGCGACTGTGTTATTCTCTTTCACAATGGCAGAGAAGGAGGGAGAAGGAGATGAGGCAATAGAGTACAAAACACAGTAACTTCTTAATAGTTATTGGCTATACTGCTTAAGTAATGCCATTAGAATGAATAACCATTTAATTATTTAAGGTCAGTAATGATGGCAACAGTGATTACTAGACTCACTAACTAGCAATAACTGGGAAGTAATGAATGACAAAGTTGGGAGTCAGACCGGCTGATCTGAATTCTATATGCACTTAGAGATTTTGGGTGACTCCGCCTCACTGAACCACTTTGATCAGATGAAAGAGGAGGCAGAAATATCTAACAGCTTTTTGGTGAGGATTAAATAGTACGCATATTAAAATCATCAACACTTAGCACGTAGGCATCTTTTTAAAGCTTCTTAAAACTGTATGTGATAGAAGCCACCGACATTCATGACAGTAGAGTCACCTGCTGAGCCCATGAACCTGTCACCTACTCCAACATTGACAACATTTTGCCAGTCTTATCTCTTGCCACCTCTCTTGGTCACTCTCTCACAGGAATATTTTAAAGAAAGTAAAAACACTTAGATCATTTAGAACACAAGTATTTTAGTATAGAACTCCATCCGACAAAACAATTTTAAAACATAACCATAACATGCTCACTTTTAAGAAAACTAACAAATCCTGAGTGTGATCTCTAAGCCAGCCCAAAGTAAATCTTCCCAGTGTTGTAAAAATTAGAATCTGAGGATCAGTTTGGTTGGCAGGGCTCCTAACGTCTCCTTTTCTATCTGTTATAGCCATTACCACTTCCCTAACCTTTACTCACATGCCATTCATTTGCACAAGTAAGCAGGTCAGTTTCCCTGTAGAATTTCCCCTATAAGTGTCTAGCATATTCGCATTTAACACAGTCTTCAAACTCTCAATATTTACTTGATTAGATTCAGGTACAGTTTACTCAAACATCTTTCCGTAACAGAAGGATGAAAGTGCTTACTGTACCTTTCATTTGGTTACTTATGATGGGCCAGCCCAATGGAAAGTAATTTTCAAAACTCTTCCCCTAAATTGAGTACTGTCAAATTATTGAATATTAGTTCAGGCTACTTTAACATGGTACTGGATGGTGGCATAAATGGAATTTTATCTTTCTATCCTAGTAGGACTCGCTATAGCGCGTTTCCCATTTGGGCTATTCTAGCTCTCAGGCAATTTCCACTGAGACTCATATAATAAAGGCTTCCCCAGAGCAGTAGTGTTCCGTGACATCAAAGCCCCTCCACCACTTCCTGGAGATGAAAAGAGCAGGCTGAAAGAGCTAGGTCTATGAAGACAACAGCTGAGACAAGCTGTTCAGAGGTGGTGTCCTTGAGCACAAAGCAAGGCAGGGCAGCAGTCACACAGGTGGAAAGGACAGTTCTGCAGTATAGGTGAACCAATTTGCCCATGACAGTTGCCTGTGTACTTTCTCTGATGGTGACCTAGCAGTTTGCCTCTACTGCATATAGAAAAACTGAAATAACCTTGACTCCCACAGTGGGGTGCCTGGCTTCTTTTATTCTCATGTAGTAGGTTTGTTTTCAGTCACAATGCAGGCAAGGAATGCAAGATTGAGGAACAGAGGTTTCGGTCACAGAACTCCTGACTGGAAACACAGTCCGAAGAAGTCTTTACCTGAAAATGTCTAACTTACCTGATATCCACAGATACCAGAACCCGATTTGCCCTGGATAATGCCAAACAGTTTTATAATTTTCTTTTCAAGAGTTTGTCTCATGGCGACTACTCTTTTTTTTTTTTTCCCACAATAACAACAGGACTTTATTTATTGGTTTCCATTGCACATGGAAGACTATTTTCTTTTAATTAGTGAATACTTTGATTAATTTCATCCTCTTTTACTGCCTCTACTCTTCCCTTCCTCTTCTCCAGTTGCATACTTCAAATATTTTCAAAGACGGATGCACAGTCTGAGTCTCAAAATAAATCTGAAGTTAAGGGGATTCAAACTGTAGAATATATTTTCCATGCCAACAAGGAAATATGTTTAAAAACTGATAATTGAGACAGTACTAATGATTAAAAGGTCAAGTGGATTAGGGAAGATTATAAACAACTTCAGTCCAATAAGATTAATAACTTTGATAAAATGGCCATTTCCTCTGTTCAGTGATCTCAGTGGAAGACCTCCAAATGACATAGGGGAAAGAAATTCCCAACCTGCTAGGTATCTGATATGAGTTCATGTTCTCTAAAATCGAAGAATGAATTTAGGAATAATGGTGGTTAAGAGCAGAATATATTTATTGGGGGGAAAGAAAGCTTCTGTCCAAGAGAGAGAGATAGAAGAGGTCCCAAATGGGCTGCCCCAATTACTCTTAAGATACAGGAAACACCAGATCAGCTGCAAAGCTGTTCTTCCTGGTGATCTCAGAAATGCCAGAGTGGTAAGGGTTTTTGAAGTCAGCTTCTTTGTGTAGAACTCTTTCTTAAAAGTATCACATATCCCCTTAAATACTCTTGGTAGGTTTACCATCCTACAAAGGTGACTTCTGAGACTCATACTTGAGCCTTGATATACCCTAGTCATTGGCATCATTTGTTACAGTCTATGTTTTTTTTTTTTGGAGCTATCTATGCATCTCTAAGATCTTTGAAATCACTTTAGATGGCTTCCTTTTTCTACATTAATTGTTGAATTCCAGTTTTTCATTCTAAGTGGTTTACCTGTTCTCTGGAGATTTTTATTTTTTTAATTTTGAGACAGGGTCTTACTATGTAGCCAAGGCTGGCCTTGAACTTTTTGTGATCCTCCTGCCTCAGCCTCCTAAGTGCTGAGATTATAGGTGTGTATTACCATACATGGCTTTTTTTCCTCCCATAATGTTGGAAAGTTCATGGGCTTTGGGAGACAGATGAAGAAACAGTTTAAGTTACCACAGCAAATCCTGGATACTTGAGCTATGTCTGTCTATCCTTTCTTCCTTTTAAAAATTTGAAAAAGCTCCATTTGGGGGAAAGATTTTATGACTATCAGCCTCACATCAGTTTAACTTCTTTAGGGTTGGACTACTTTCTGTCTCATTTTCATGCACTTCTTGATATAAGAAATGCTTATGACTTTTTTTACTTTAAAGAGAGTAGTAAAAAAAAAAAAATAGCAACATACCAACATCACAGATTGCCCCCTTTCATAGAGCAATGATTGCCATCTTGTAGTATTTTAACATGTTACCTTCTAAAATTATTAAAACCAGGTATGTTTTTGCAATAATAAGCAAGGTTGTTTAATTTTATTGGCTTCCTGATTCTGGATATATGAGTTCTATGAACAACAAAGGCTTCTCCATCCTGAGAAAGTTTCTATATCTCTACACCTAAAACAGCCTGAATGGCCAGAGCGATTCTCTTTATCTTTCGTCCACCCTTACCAGCTTTAATACTGTATTATTTGGTAGTGGTTGTCTTCTTGAGAGTCATGAAAATGAGTAACAGTCTTTTGGGAGAAGAATGTTTTCTTATTTAAAATAAATAAGAGAGTTCTCCTGACTCTCAGCCTCAATGTACAAAGACCTCCCTGATCGCTGTAAGATAGGATACTTTCTGTTTTTCTCACCTTCAGAAAAGGCCCCAAACGCAAAATTAATGGCAAATATCCAGATCAATGTTCTTAAACCAAGAGCAATTTCAGCTTACTTTCTGTTAATTTCAGAATAAGCATTGGATCCAGCCCCAGTTTTTCAAAGGAGACGCCATCTCTGTCAGACTGGAAAGCTATTTGGCTTAGGTGTGAGCGACTCTTCATTCGGGATGAAAACGTAGTCTTCTGGTGGACTTTCATGCTACGGCTCAAAATTTTGTCCTGCACAAGTGGAAAAGTTTAAAAGAATTTTTTAATCTACCAAATGGAATGTTGTGTTAGAATAGTGATCATATATAGAAATATCATCTGCAACGAGTGATATTAACATTAAACAAGTAACTCAAGCTCTTATCCTTAAGGGAATTATTTAGCTTTCATTTTCTTGAAGTGATGAAAATTTCCTATGAAGCTGAGCAAAAATGTAAAAAAAAAAAATTAACCTTTATTAAACTGTACCTCACAAACAGGATAAAGTCCTTCTGGCTTTATTTTCATAATTATGTCTTGCCCAAAATGTAGGTAAAACTTGGAGATTCCAAGGGTTGGCTCTGTAGAATGAAAATCTTGAAAGGAAATGAACCTCCACAGTATAACATGTGTGTGTGTGTTTGTGTGTGTGTACTGATTTCATTTGTATTTTCTCAATTTAACGTTTGCTTAAATTCAACAAAGCTACACAATACAAAAAGCCATCATACAGTAGCATTTCTAGATAATCTATTCTACTTAGGGTTAAGAAGGTCCTGTAATCAGCCTTCATCTCTGGGAGGAAAGAAAGTTAATTTCCTGAACTGTGACCCAGGTCATGTAGGCTAGGATCATATAAACAGTGAGATTAACCCTGTAAGACCTGTTGGAGTGTTGGCCTCAGTAATGCCTTAGTTTCTTATAAAATAGTTCTAAATAATTCCACTTTTATACCTTTTTCCTTGCCTACTCCTGTCCCTAACCCACACATAGACATTGCCTTGTCCATATCAGCTCAGCAAACTGAACAATTCTTGAAGACTGAGCTCCTGTGATCTCTGTGAAGTCTTTGCACACTACCACCGTCACCACCACCACTTCTCTCTCCTCTCACTAGCAAAGGTGAGTGTGCTTGCTCTGTATATCCTTTGCAGGCTGCTGTGACTGTAGTTCATCAGCTCTGAGACGCCATTTATTGTAACGCGTGGGTACCAACATACGGCACTGCACCTATGTAAGCTAGATCCAATTTTAGAATGAAAAAAATGTGTCAGTTAGAATCAATGAAGTAAGGTCCCTGGTAATTGTTCATGGTTTATCTGTCTCCCCCTCTGGGTGGTGACCTTTGCAGTTCCCTGCTGTGTGCTTGAGGTCGCTGTGACCTTTCTTTGCCTTCACTGTCTCTCCAGAACGGTGTGGGCCACACACCACGCCTGTCCACATCTGCTTCCGTGTAATAATCTATAAAAGCTTGTGAGAGCAATGAACAAGAGGATGCGATTATGACATCAATTGTTGTAAGTCTTTTTTATAAAGCCTTACCTTTTCCTTTGCTGCCAATTCATTTTCTTTGTAAAGAAAGAGATCCTGGAAAAAGATCTTATAAGGCCTGTTCTTTTTGGTCGAGTCATTCTTATTATCTGCAAGAAAGAAAGACTGGTTTTCCCTCAGTTGGCCAGAGCATTAAGGCTCTCACTGGCCAGGAAGTAAGTGGGATACAGGGGTTACTGACAAGGGAGGATGCAGACAGCCTTTGCCTCTGCAACTGGAATTGGAGATGCAGGTCTTGGATCTGTTGGGCCAGAGCCAGTGCGGTTGTCTTTCCCATGGAACCAAGTAAGGTGTTTTTAGTGCTTCGCAGGTGAATGAGTTGATAAACAGGCTTTTGTGAGAATAGTGGGATCATAATTTGAGATATGAAGATATTGCTTGCTCTCATCACCACAAATGTACCAAACACTGTGTTTATAACCTCCCTTCCACAGCAGTGCACACACCCACTGCCCTTCGGGAGAATCTCAGTCCAAACCAGACAGTCTACAAAAGAAAGTCAATATTAACAAGTGCTGGTGAGGGTGTGGAGCTGGTGGGGACGTAACATGGTGGAGTCACTTTGGAACACAGTCTGGTGGTTCCTTAAAAAGTTGAACATAGGGTTGCTGTAGACCTCAGCAATTCTACTGCAAGGCATATACTCCAAGGAAAGAAAACATCTACCAAAAAACTTGTACATGAATTTTTAGTATTACTCACAATAGCTAAGATGACAGCAAAACAATTCGAGTATCCATCAGCTGAGGAATGATAAACAGAATGTGGTATAATAAGTTGGTTTTGTTCCTAAGTCTGACAAAGTGAGTCTTATCCACCATTGACACAAATGTGCAATGTCTATTGCTTTGTGCTTCCTATCAGTCCGCTTTGCTTCACCACTGTTTTTCCCCTTGCTTCCAGGCATCCTGGGCTTGGACTGAGTACTGTACTGCCGTACACTATTACACTGTGCAGTAAGCACACCAGCAGTACAACTGTGACAATGTCTACCAGGCACGTGAGCTACTTCAGCAAGATCCTGTCTCAAAAAGAAACTTTAAAAAGGAGCTGGGGCTGGGGATATAGCTCAGTAGCACAGTACCTGCCTGACAAGTGCAAGGTCCTGAGTTCAAATCCCAGTACCAACCCCACCTCCCAAAAAAAAACCCCCCCCCAAAAAAATAAAAAAGGAGCTGAAGATGTAGTTCAGTACAAAGATCCGCAAGTTCAATCCCCAGTATTGCAAAGCACTGGAACATTTTGAGAGTCCCCTGCCTCCAGTGGCAGTAGCAAAGAATTAGTGTACTGGAGCTCAAAGGGTGCCTGATTAGCGACAATTTTCCCAGGGATCCAGCTGGGGAAATGGGAGTGGCTGGGATTATAGAAAGCCTAGAGATCCTATTTTGGTAGGCCATGGGTTTAAGAGAGAAAAAATTGCAAAACAAAAGTAACAAGAGAGTAAAGTGTCTCCTCAGGTTCCCCTAGGAGGATATGACCGACTTATTGAATGGTTCTCTGTGGTTCAGTAGGGGAGTGAAACCCATTACACTGAGGAGTATGTGGAGTGCAGTTGGTCCAGCTGATGGAGGACTAACAGGTAGGGAGCGCTCCTGCTGGTTGGCATAATATCTGGCAAGAGTAGAAGTACATACGGTTAGACCTTGAGGCCCTGTGAGGCTCAGGCACATAGACCTTCTGATAAATGGATTAGAGGCAGCTGAGGGCAGACTATGGGGGAGCCCTGCTAACAGCAAGAGGTGACAGAGGTTGAGTACCCAAAGGGACCTGGGGCTGAATGGCTCTGATGCTTAATTTTACGTGGTAACTTGGCTGGGCCAGAGGGTGCCTGGATTACACACAATTTCTGGATGTGTCTGTGACTGCATTTCCGGATGTGGTGAGCATTTGAATTAGTGGACTTGGGAAAGTCAACTTCCCTTCCCAGGGCAGGAGGGCATCCTACAGTCCATGAGGGCCCAAGGAGAAGAGGAGGCCAAGAAAGGAAGAGCCTGACCTTTCTTTTCCACGTCCCTGAGCTGAGACAGCTCACCTCATCTTCTCTTGCGCCCACACTGGCACTGACAGCACGGGCTCCCCGGTTCTGGGGCCTTTGATTTGGACTGAATTATACTCAGCTCCCCTGGACTCTGGCTCGCAGATGGCCAACTGTGGGACTCATGTGAGCCGATTTCTCATACTAGCCTTCACTCCTATTGGTTCTGTTTTTTTGGAGAACATTGCCTAAAACAGCGACACTGCCAGTCTGTGGACCTGGGCCCTCTATTACCACTCCTAGGCCAGACATGGACCCCAGACATCCCAGCACCGGCCACTCACATCCTCCACATGTGAGCCATTGGCAGGCTGGACCCTCTGCCACAACCGATTCTCTCTTACCCAAGAGAAACCCTACAAACTTAGACTGCGTCCCAGCCCAGGTGCTTAAAGTCTTCAATGCCTGAGTTAAAGTATCCACTGACCAATTCACTGGGATGATATTTTTTTCCATCCAAGTCCAAATCCAAGTTTATTTTATTTATAGAGGAAATGGGAGGCGGGGCTAGCCCTCTGGGCACCAAGTATATTGGTTTCCGACGGCTGCTGCAATGAATTACCACCCAAGTAGTGTCTTTTATTTGTCTATTTTCTGTTACGCTAACAAAATACCTGCATTTGGATAACCCTGGGTCCAGCATGATGTCATCCTAGGATCTTTATCTTGATTTTTATCTACCAAGACACTTTTTCCCAAGTAAGTTCACGCTCACAGATTCCAGGGGTTAGAACGTGATGGCTGAGTATTTGTGGGGGCCCCCATCCAACCACAGTGCCAAGTTTCCAGAATCATAAGCTCACTACAAGCACCAGCCCCCAGGGAACCCTTCTCCCTGTATTGGCTTCCCACTCACATGGAACTGGGGCCACCATTACAAATTACCAGGAGCAGGTAGCTTAAAACAGCAGAAATTCATTCCCTCACAGTTCTGGAGGCTACAGATCCAAAATCAAGGTGTCGGCTGTGTTGTTTTAGAGGCTCTCAGGGAGAATCTAGTCCATGACCTTCTCTCAGCTTCCGGTGGCTGCCAGCAATCCCTGCAGCTCCTTGGGTTACAGAAGATGTGTCACATGACTCTCTGTCTCTGTCTTCATACATCTGAGCCTCAAACTGGCTCTCGGCTCTCTTCTGAGGATATCCACTGTTCGGTTTAAATTCGACGTGTACCCTAAATTCGAGGTGACCTCATCTCAAGACCCTTACCTTAATTACTTCTGAAAATACCCCTTTTCTAAAGAAGTTCCCATTTTCAGGTTCTGGATGGACATATCTCAGGGTCACATTTAACCCCCTCCACCACCTCATACCTACAGCGTGCCCCAGACTCTACCCCTGGCCACAGGCTCCTGCTCTCCAGAGTCTCACGCTGCTGCTCCTGAATAAGCTGACACTGGGCCTGGCCTCTGTCCTGAACCCTACATTAGCAATAAGGGTTCTTCTGAGTTCCCCAAGTCAGACTCTGTTCACTGAATGTTGACTCCTCTAACCCCCCTCCCACCTGTTGTCACCATTACACTCTTCTCTGGGCTGCCTTGTGAATCTATGCCATTACTAATTCCCTGCCTTGGTTGGAGCTCTTCTCTTCCCTGCCTCAGTCTATCAGTTTCCTCATGCTGCTGTAACTAACCACTCAAACCCAAGTGGTTTAAAATCACGCGCATTTAGTCTCTTACTCTTGTGGAACTCAGAAGTCTGGAACAAGACTTATAAAATCAAGATGTTGGCAAGGCTGTCATCCCTTTGGAGGCCACAAGTAGACTCTCCCAGCCTTTAGAGACTGCCCATATCCCTTGGCTTGTGGACCCTTCCTCTCTCCTCCATGTGCATCACCCAGCCTCTGCTTCCATTATCATGACCCCTTCTCTGTCCTAGGCCTTTCTGCCTCTCTCTTAGGGACACCACCAGATGCATTGGACCCACCAGATAGGCCAGGATGGTCTTCCCATCTCTAGGTTCTTCACTTAATCGCCTTTGCAAAGTCCATCCTGACATGGAAGGTAATCTTTTCACAGGTGTCAGGGGTTAGGAGTAGACATTTTTTTGGGGATTTTATTCTATCACACTTACACAGCCTTACTTCTTTCTTAGCTTTGTCCCTTACTGGCACTCTTGCTTGGTCCTAATTCTTTCATCCATTTGTTCAAGAAATACCCATGAAAACTCTACTATGTGCCAGGCGCTATTACAGGCACTGATGATACCCTGTGAACAAACAAAGATGCCTGTTCTTGGGGCCTTACATTAAGGTGAGGTGTGTGTGTGTGTGTGTGTGTGTGTGTGTGTGTGTGTGTTGGCAACAGACAATGAAAATATATAGTAGACAATTTTATAACCTGTTATAAGCTAACAAAGTTCTGTGGGAAAAATAGAACAGGAGACAGAGTATTTTTAAGGGAGTGGTGGTGTGGACTCCATTCAGGGAGTCTGGAAGATAACCAAGTGAATATCTGAGGAGGAGTAGTCCTGGCTGTGGTAATAGTCAGTGTAAAGGCCCTGGGGCAGGACTTGCCTGCTGTGTGTTGAAGAGAAAGAAAGGAGGCCCCTGTAGCTGGAATGGAGTGAAGCGGGGGTGGGGAGCAGCAGGAGAGAGGCAGACACGCTGGCATGGACTCTCGGGAACCCCTGGAGGACTTTGAGCAGAGAAGTGACGCGGTCTGCCACTTAATCCTGTGCAGGTAGATGAGAACTGACTCGAGTGGGGCAGTCAGGGTTGCAACCGGTGTGCTTCAGCTAAGAGCTGCTGGCGGTTCTGCCCAGCATGGTAGACACAGAGATGGCAGGAGTGGTTGGGTTCTACATATATTTGAAAGGGCAGCCAGCAGAGTCCCCTGTGGGGTTGCATATGGCGCATTTTCCTCAGGCACTCATTTCTCCTTTTTTCTCTTCCTCTTTCTCCCACTTCCTTCTCTACCTCCCTCCTCTGCTCTCTTCCCTCTCTCCTTCTTTTCTTTCCTTCCTTCCTTCCTTCCTTCCTTCCTTCCTTCCTTCCTTCCTTCCTTCTTTCCTTCCTTCCTACCTCCATCCCTCCCTCCCTCTCTCCCTTCCTTCCTTCCTTCTTTCTACCTGAAAATATAAATACTCCTATCATGTTTAAGACACCATTGCTACACATTTCTATTAGTTACATAAAAACATATTAATTATAAATACAGAGAGCCCCAAAATATCCTCCAAAGCAGATGTTTATTAATCACTGTCGCTTGGAACACACTTGGGGTTATCCAGTTAAATTCTTGTCAAATTTGTAAGTGAAAGCAAAGCTATTCCTTGTAGACTAATAAATTCCAATTTCTTGTACATTTATAAAGAATGAGGAAGGGAAGGAGGGCAGAGAGGTAAAAAAGGCAGATTGTGATAAAGTTCACCTATTCATGTCCTTCACGATGACAAGTAATTAACTTTGTGAGACTGCGGTGGATTGACAGCTGGTTGGGGCCCACCTGAGGACTGTTGCCAGCAACGTAAGAAAGAGAACTGGAGAGGAAAGAGTGAAGCTGTTAGGGAGCTGCTGATTTTCCTGAAGAGCTTGTCATGTTGGCTTTCCTGATGAACTTGGCTGTTCTCATCATCAAAGAAGCTCAGGACCTTGTTGTTGCTGAGAGTGGCTACGGTTCACTTTGGGAGATCTCTGGTCTTTACTTTGAGCATCGCTTCCTGGCTCTGGAGGGGAAGATAGTGCACTGCCGGTCTCCTGGAGCAGCTTGTCACATTGGCTTTCTCAGTGTGGATTTGACTGTTATCATCAGAGGGGCTTGGGACCTTGCTGTCACTGAGTATGGCTCTGGTACTTTTTGGGAAGCTCCGCTCCTTACTTTCAGTGTCATTTCCTGGCTCCAGTGCAGATCCCTCATTCTGCTGGCACAGATCCTTCATCCCGCTGGCACAGACTTTCTAGCTTCCACCACTGAGCTTTGGGCCTTCCCAGTGCAAATCCATGAAACAGGCCTGCATGAGACATGGTTGTGGACTCCTGGTCTCCAGTTGGACTTGTTGGGGGGCATTGTTATGGCCTCTAGGTCTTTAGCTGGACTCCTGCAGGGCATTGCTGTGGGATCCAGGCCCTCAGCTGGATTCTTTTGGTCTTCAGTGTGTGGACAGATTTCCTGCACTCTCTTTGTATAGGACTCTTTGGGTGACTATTACAAAATAATCCTATAAATTATGTGTTCTGTATTGTTTTCCTTGCAAACACTGACTACAACAGAGACACTGTAGCAGTCTAGCTCAACATGACAATGTGATGCACTGTTGATTTGAAGCTTATTTAAAACAATAAAGTAGAGCAGACTCTTCTCTGCAGGTAGTTTGTAGTCTTCACACTTTATTCTTATGGTGTAGTGTTTTCCTTTGCTATCTGAATCCCCTTGGAGTCTGATAGCACTGTGCAGAAAATAAGAACTCAAGCATTAATTTCTTCCTACCTTCAAAATTCACTGAAGCCTGCAAAAACTGTGATGACATCTTGTCTCCTGGGCCTGTCCAAAGAAAAGGAAGCACATATTAAAAACTTTTGTAAACATTGTATAAAGAAGCTAAATTCAAAGTCTTTCTGGCTTTACAAACAGTACACACACAAACTCTTTGACCCAGCAATTCCAGTTCGAGGAATTTAACCTAACAAAAATTCAGACATGCAGGACAATAATGTTTTTTCAGTATCATTTAATAAACAGGGAGTTGATTAAATAACTATAGTATCCCCATAAGGTAGATTGCCACGTGGCCCTTAAAATGATGCTGTTATCACTATCTGTCTAACATATATGATAAGTAAGAAAAAAAAAGCAACTATTTTGGCAGTAGAAATAGTGTGATAAAAAACGCAAGCAAAAAACTAAGAGTTGTTTAAAAAGCTGTTCACCAAACATTAGTAGTGGTTACCTCTGGTTCGGCTCAACCTCTCCTTTCTTTCTGGTCAAGTTTGGGGTTAGGATTAGGTGACTGAGATACTCACTTTAGCTGCGAAACATAAGCAATTGCTAAGACAACAACAACTTACCAAGATAAATAACTTACAAATGGACTTATTTTTATTTTTTTTATTTTTAATTTTGTTTTTGTTTTTGTTTTTTTTTTTTCCGGTACGGGGAATCAAACTCACGACCTCACACTTGCCAGGCAGGCACTGTGCCGCTGAGCTAAATCCCCAGCCCCTTGGACTTATTTTTAAATTCCAAGTGATTGTAGGAAAAAAGCGCATGATGAACACTACAGTTTGGACGTTGCATCTCTTCCAATGGAACCTGTATTAAAGGCTTGGTCCTCGAGGTGGCGCTATTGAGAAGTGGGGGAACCCTTAGAAGCCGGGGCCTGGTGGAAGGATTTTAGGTCTTTGGGGCTCCCCTAGCAGGAAATTACGGGGCCTTCTGCTATGGTCTCTTCCTCTCCCTCGCCTTTTACTTCCTGGCCATGAGGTGAGCACTTCTGCTCCACTACTCACTCCCACTATCATGTGTGGTCTCACCACAGGCTGGTAGCCATGGAGACCCCTGATCCTGCACTGGAACCTCCAAAACCGTGAGCCAAAACAGAACTTTCTCTTTTACTTGACTATCTCAGGTATTTTGTCATAGTGACAGAAGACTGACTGACAAAACAAAATGTCAAATGACACTGACTTTTGTTAAACAAAATATCAAAATTTTGAATACAGAAAGGATTTCACTGCACTTGTGTGATCCTGAGTCAGGGCCTCACTTATCTCACCGTGATTCCGGCCCACAGATGCCCCCAGCACTGGGAATTGAGCTCAAGGCCTCATACTAAATGTGCTCAACTACTGAGCTACACCTCCACCCTTTTTTTCTTTTTACCTTCCCTCCCTCCTCTTCCTCTCACCTTCCCTCTTTTCCTCTCTCTTTCTTTCTTTCTTTCTTTCTTTCTTTCTTTCTTTCGTTCGTTCGTTCTTTTTTTCTTCCTTCCTTCCTTCCTTCCTTCCTTCCTTCCTTCCTTCCTTCCTTCCTTTCTTTCGACAGGGTCTCACGGTGTAGCCCAAGCTGGCCTTAAACTTGTAATCCTTCTGCTTCTAAGCAGATTACAGATATGCAGCACCACAACCAGTTAGAGCTTATCTTTATTTAAAATGTCGACATTTTGCTCATCCTAGATATGTTGTGTGACTCTTCCTTTTCTGGAATACTGAATTCAAATACTAGCTATTTTGATGCCTGAGTTTTGACCTCTCCATTAAATTTTTTTTTTTTGCTGGAGGCAAGTACCTCTCTTATTACTGTAATTCTTATTCTGATTTCTGTATTTTGGGACTGTCACTTAGATTTCTCAAAGACTTTGTGTATCTTTTAGAGGAGAGTTATAAAGTTATATGCATTTGGAGGGAAAAGGGCTCAAGAGTTTATATAAATATGTGCACCCATGACAGGAGCAAAGAAACAATGCCTTGTGTTTTAGGTTGGCTGTTTAAATTTATTCCTTAGTAATGTCAAAGAACCATGTTTAAAACCTAAATGTTCCAGAAGCATAACATCAGGTAATTAAGAACACAGACTCTGGAGTGAAGAAGTCTGGCTTTGAATCTTGGTCTGCATTTACAGATGAGTAAGCAAGTTCACTTAATATTCAAAAACATTTACTGAGTACCTACTATGCATCCGGTACTGTTCTAAGTATGGCAGACAGATCCTTCAAAAAGACTAGACTAAAAGCCATCGTCTTTATGAAGCCTCCTGCCTCAGCCCTCCAGAATGCTAGGATTACAGGTTGCACCACTGCTACCAGCTAAGAATGAAGTTTTATAGTGTCCAATCCTAAAGTTGTAGAATTACTCTAAATATATTTACCAGCAATAGCCAGGTGGGGTGGCGCAGGCCTGTAATCCCAGCACTCCAGGGGCTGAGGAATGAAGATCTCCGTGAGCTTGAGGCCAGCCTGGGCTACAAAGTGAGCTCAAGGCCAGCCTGAACTATGTAATGAGACCCTGTCTTAAACAAAACAAACAAACAAACAAACAAACAAACTACCAGCAACGCTATCTACCAGATACTATTAGAAGCAGTTTGTGCTCGGTTTTCACACCCTTGCTACAGCCCAATAAAATGGATTTCCAGATTCTCTGCATGTGGGATAGGAAGCATCTCCCCACCCATATAAGGACCTAGTCAGGTCCCCCCCCCACCCACTGCCTTTTACTTCTCCACCGGCTCCCCCAGCACCTTGGACAGTACCGGGAGGAGCGGCTCTGAGCTGAGTCCTTGGGTGGTGTGCAGACACCAGAGCCGGCACTTTTTTGTTTACCTGAAAGCCAGGAGCTACTGGGTCCTTGGCCTGCCCGATGGCCACCTCTCAGGTCAGCAGCAGAGCACAGGTGAGAGTACTTTGCTCTTGACCTCTGAGGCTCTGCTGGCGTCAAGCTTACTGTTCTGTGTGGACTTTCCTGTTGACTCTGCCTTTTGCAAACTGAAAAGACTAACTCAGATCAAGAGGAAAGAAGAATAGAGGAAGGGAGTTTGCAAACGGGAGTCAGGTGATACAAAGAACCCTTTCTAACCTAAGAAATAGTAGAGATACTTTTTTCTTTCTTCCCTCAGTACTGTGGATTAAATCCAGCCTCCCCCTCCCCCCATTCATTTATTTTTCCGTTTTAAACAGGTCTTGGTAAGTCATTAACCTGCCCAAGCTGGGCTTGAACTTGGGGTCTTTCTGCCTCAGCCTCCCATAGTGCTAGGAATATAGGTGTGCACCACCGTGCATGGCCAAGATGCTGGTTATTACTAAGGAAAAAATGTATTGCCCTTACCCCTCAGTTACTATCAAAAGTAACCAAGGAGGAGAGAAATATCTCTGGTCCGTCCTGCTTCTGCAAACCTCTTGTTTGCAAATGCATCTCGGGTAGTAAGAGTCTGGACCATGGATCAGATACACTCACGAACACAAATGATCACTTAATAAAAAGAGTATCATTTCTTTAGACTTACCAAGAATGTGTAAGCTGGAAGTACAGTTCATGGTATATACTCGGAGGTTAGTTAGGCCAGAAACTAGTGCAACTTGCTCAAATCCAGCCATTAACCTAACCTGACCACACTGTGCGTTTAATTCTTTCCCGCTTTCCTCCTTCATCCTATTTTATCTCAGTTTTATAGGGTGTAGCGTGACGTTAAAGGATCTTCTTTCTAAATGCGTTTGTCTAACGCATTTAGACATGTGTTTAATGTTTGCTGGAGTGTTTGCTGTCTGTTCTTAGTTTTAAAATGACACCAAATTGACTTCCTTTTCTACTTGGCGTTTTGTAAGTGTAGTCTGCTTTTTTCTTTTTTGATGCGTCCATGTTCGCAGCGCAGAGAATTCCCTTCCCTGTGTGGGGTTGGTACCGCACACAGCACATCTTCATCCCCTGTTTCATCCGCTTCCCTCCCTCCCTCCAGCTCCTCAGCCCCTTCCCGTGGCAGGATGATCTCTGCTCCTGCTTCCTACGGTTCGCTTTTATTTTGCTCTTTAGTTATAATTTGGGTTTCTCCTAGAAGGTAAACAACGCGCTATTTAAGCTCGCGTGTCTCATTTATTGTATTTCACCTTCTGTCTTCTTTTCTACGGTAAAGTCTCTGCTGGGCAAGAAGTGCCTCCGCCGTCTTTATCTGTCACTCAAGCCCCGCGCAGCGTGCCCGCTAGATATGGACCGGACCGGGCGAGTGCCGTCACCGAGAGTCCAGCAAACCCCAGCGCCTCCGAGCCCCCTGCCGGGCAGGAGCGGCCGAGGCAGCACACGTCTTCCTTAGGGGAAGCTGCCTCCTCCCGCGGCCCGCCGGGGCCTGCGGCTTCCCGCTGCGGCGGCCCAGGGCCCGGGGACCCGCGGCTCCCACCCGCTTTACCTCCGCGAGTTCGGGTCCCGGAGGCCTCGTTCCAATCTCTCCCGAGCAGGCGCCCACGGTGCCCTCAGTCGGCTCTATCCGGCCCCGGGCCCCGTCCCTTTCATCCTGGGGGCGCACTGGGAGCGCATCCTACAGCGGATCGGGCCAACCGAAGAGTGCGCGGGACCCGCGTCCGGTTCGGCGCCGCGCGGACCCCAGAGCCGCCCCTCCCTCCCC